GCAGTGATGACAAGCGATAGTGTAGGGTAGTCAAGGCACACAAGAAAATGATTCACTGTTTTTTTTTTTTTTTTGCCAGGGAGTGAACTCATTGCTATAGAACGGGGCTGGAAATCTTTGGGTTGTACATATGCGGTCTAAATCTACCTGCTTATGTCAACGTACCCTTTATAAGTTGGTGAACTGGGCAAACCCAAAATGACTGCAGTGATGACAAGCGATAGTGTAGGGTAGTCAACAGCGGAGAGGATTTCTGCCCAGCTCCCCGTGGAGAGTCCAGTTTAACTGTTTCGATTGCCAAGTTACGGTAAGTACACTCGAATGATTTACCTTTAGCGTGATGAGCCTTAAACGGTAATCATCTGCTTGTATGACTTGGTTAACTGTGATTTCTATTCCTTCGTAGGTGACCTGTTCCTCTGGCCAATATTCTGTGCATTTCTGTGTGCAATATAAAATACATCTAGTTAAGCAGGCATCAAAGGAAGCTCATTTTTACTCCTCTGAAATTGGATATAGTGCATGCACAGATGAATATGAATGAAGGCTGTTTCTATAATAAGTACAAGTTACTTTCCATAAAGGGACTAAAGGCTTTTTTTTTCCCTCTTGCACTCAGCTGTGTGATTAAAAAACACTCAAATAAAATAACTACTAATGGCTGTTTTAAAATGTTCKCATCCTAATTAAACTTCACACATGGTCCTGTGTATTTTTAAGGTTCACTAGGGAGACTAGTGGCGAGACATCTACGTTTATTAATAAACCTGTATTTTATATTAATTTCTTATGATAATAATTACTAGTATCAAGTACATTGATTATTAATATTTCTGCAGGATGCATAAATGGGTAGGGAAACACAAAATACATCTTTTCTATTTTTGATCTCTGACATCCTCAGAGAGCATTTGCTCTCTGAAAATAAAAACATCTTTTTCACAGGCTTTTGTACAGAAGAATGTGACAGGAAATGTTTCTGCAACTTAGATTATGTATTAAAACTCATTTTAAATGGAGATGGAGAATCTTTCATCAGAGCTAGGAAGCCAAAACAAAGCAACAGCTGTAGCAGCTRTAGGAATACTGCATTTAAATGCACCAAAACATAGCCAGGGATGCAGCCAACACAACCAGACAACCAGAGAAACTGAAGCTATAACCCAAAGCTCAGCAGTGGTACTGATATCTTACACTTGAGGAAAGGGGGAGCCTGGAACTCTCCCATCCTGGAAAAASAGCTGGCAAAAATCTTTTGTATCTTTTGTATGGAATCTCTCTTTAAGCTAGTCAGTTGGTAAGAGCAGAGACAAGCATCTTCAACGGTGGAGTAGGGACTAGTTGACAGAAGAGGACTTTGAGGGAATGACATGAAGAAGGCAGGATCTGAGATAAAGGTTCCCTTATGATGAAGTATGAAGAATTTTTTTTGTTATTACAGAAGAATAAGGATCTGCTGTTGGACAACACCTGTGAAAGAATCTGCAAACTTCCTCTTTAGCATGACTAGATATAACCCTGAATAAACGCAGCAAGCTAAATGATGTGCTGTTCTCCCCCAGCAAAAATAATCCCACTTCAGGAGGAGGACAAACAACAGAAAAGTATCTTGAAAAGGACCGAGTCAATTCTTTTGTGGGGGAGAATCCGTGCTCTTCCAGCTGCGTAGTACACCAGCTAACAAGCCACTGGGAAGGGGGCCCACTGTGTCTGCAAAAATTACTTACGCAGATTGCGTTTTTGCTTCCCCTCCTCTCAAGCTGCAGAATCCATTGTAAAAGTCGTCAAGAGCGCTAACAACTATCAATAGCACAGACGTTGTTCTGCCTMGGAGTGAAGCTGCCCACTCACTCTTGTGGGCTGTCTGTCAGTTCAGATCAGACATGACAGAGGGCTGAGATACAGAGCTCTTCACACTCCTATTAGCAAAGTCACTGCACCAAAAGAAACGCAAAGCCTGTTCCTAGCATAAGGGGAGAACAAAGGTTGGGGGTTTCAATCTCTATCCTCTGACTCCTGCTATTCATACGTTAATATGCATTATAGAAAAGAAAAAAAAAGGAATGCATATAGGAAACATTCATACGGAAGCAATTACCCTATATTTAGGGCTGAGATTCCTGACATCATCTAATTTTTGACACAAAAGGTTTCAGATAAGACTCAGCAGCTCTGTAATAATATATAGGCTGCAGCAAGCTCCACTTACACAGGGCAATAGCACTGCAGTGCACTGCTTCCCAAGGCTGATAAGATGAATGAAATATTTGCAGTACTTGCAAGGAGAACTCTGGATGAAAGGTTATTCTGCCTTCCTGTTATACAACCCTGCCATAGAAGCTACAGCAGGAGAACTCCAACACACACAAAGGACAAAGTTTCTCTGCCTTCTCCTCTTTCTTAAAAAGGGTAAACCTTTCCAAAGTGCTTAAATGATTCTGGTAGACTATCTTGTAACACCTTAATATGTCATTTGCCATATACTGGCCCCTCAGACCCATGAACAAGTTAACACCAGCTCTGTAGTAGCAAACTGTCACTACACACAGCAGTAACAGAACTAAGAGGCAGGTGTGAGCTGAAACATGCTAGTACCAATCTCAGTGAGAAAACCTTTAGGCCAGCAGCATGCTATGCTTGATGTCAGCAATATCCTAAGAGCACCTGCTGAGTCAACCGGCTGCTCTAACTGCTGGGTACTAACTTGTAAAGCAAAGTACTTCTGTGTGACCACCTAGTYCGTGTCTTTCTCACTGAAATTCAAGCTAAAGCAACTTACTTCACACATGGGGAAAGCTAAAGGTTTATGCACATGTATAAATACGACCCTCAGCTACTAGCTAAGCTAGCATAGCTCAGCACGTTTGATGTGTTCCCATCCTGGCCATCTGTCTGAAACTTCTTCTCCACATGAAAAAGCCTCACCTAAGTTACCAATGAGTTCTCAGGTGTGAGTGTGGACAAATACTGCTCCTTCAGCCTAGGAAGTATCGCTGAGAGCGCTGTACTTCACCTTGCTGCTAAGGGTGATGGAGGCTGCAAGAGACTAATTCCTGCCCAAGCCACTGCCTCGCACCCTACTCTACCAGTAAAGGTGGCCTGGACTCTGACACCTGCCTGTGAACTGAAATTCAGACATGTGGCTCTAACAGCTCTGCTGTGGGGCAAGAATTTCAGCAGAAAGTTAGTAATGAATACTTGGAAAACAGCAAGATGCGTGTTAGGTCACTATAGGCATTGAACCATAATAAACGACAGAAAAGTACGGACTCTGTTAATTAAAAATATTCAGAATATTATCCAGAAAATATGCAGAATTCCTACCTAGTAGGAATAAGTAGGGATTGGGTGCTGCCACTTTGACACCTTCACAGGGGACTTGAAAAAGTTTCTGCAAATAGAGCTGGGTTTATAGAGGTCTTACATCAGCTGGGAGAGGAGAACAAGCCAAAATAGCAGTGGCCAAGTTGGACAGTGAAATAGGACTTACAGCAACCTCACCAGGAAGTGGGAGAACACACACATCTCAACCTGAAAGTGTTCATGTTGGCTCTGATAGCTGAGGCCATTGTACTAGCTTCTTTTCACTGGCTTAGCATCTGTGCTAGAAATATCTGCTAGAGTACATATAAAATACAGACTGTATGTAACACCATTACCTCATTCATCTCTTCTATATTGGTAATCATGACAATGATGGGACAACGCTCCTGCCACACCATTCTCCAGAAATCACTTACAGTATTAACTATCGGTCCCTGAGTAGCAATATATACCTTTTCCTCTCCTCCATAGCCCTGCCAACAAAACAACAAGAGATCAGTTTTAACAGGGATGCCCACCACAAGCTTGAGGGTTCAGTCTTTAAACAGAGCGCTGCCACTGGTTGGATTGGAGACTCCATGCCACAGGTTCTTCCCCTGTCTATCTCTCTCCTGCACATATGCACACAGAAGCAGGATCTGGATTCTCACAGTTAGAGCAGTGAGAGTCCCATGGCTTTGAGGTGACCCTGGTTAGGTCAGGAGCCTTATGCAGGTTTGTTTTCTAGTGCCTTGGTCAGGCCAGGTGAATACCTCTTCACCTCAGTAACTGCAGAAGTGTGCATCTCTCTGGTCTGAACTTGTACAGTTGCACTTAACACTTGGTTTTCAGTTAATGTAAGCAGGAGAGAAGAGCAACCAGATCAGCTAGGATGCCTTTAAAAGCCAGTGGATGTTGCAATTAAATCTCTTTATGCTAACAGTGGCTGATAGAGGCCGGTCAAACACACTGGACTGTTGAGGTCTTACCCTGATGTAGTTAGCATTGATGTAAGAGCTAAGGGGGTCGTCCTGATCAGCTGAGGTAAGGCACACTCTGCTGTGAGGATCTGCAACATGTAAAGAGATAAGCTACAGTTTATCAGTTGCTGAGAGAAATGAGCAAGAGACACAAGATTATTTTGTACAGCCAGACATTTAGTGCATACAGGGGCATCCCAACAAAACGTAGTGGCCTTGGAGAGCTCCCATGTTAAAATTTTAACAGAAAAAGGGATCGTCTGGTTGGGGTCATTCTGCTGTCTCTGAAGTCTCATTCCTGGTGCAGAAACAAGGCTGCAGGGTAACTCTGGAGAAGCAGTAACTTTTTAGCTGTAGTCAAGTATTTCTCAATGTGTAATGTCATTGGACAAAACTTGCCTTAGAGGACACTAGAATATTATTTGTCAAGTGGCAGCAAACAGCTTTTCCCCCCAACCATGAACATTCCTTGCCTGAAAGCAAGATGACAATAACTTTCCACGGTCTTGTCTTGCACTGAACTAAGATGCACTAGTGATGAATACGATGCTTAAAGAGAAATTGAGGAATATTAGTCTCATGTGCTTTGCAAAGTTGCTGCTCTACTTGAGTTTCCCTCATGGGGGCTGTTTATGAAAGATTTTTCTTGCTTACATAAGACACCGAATGAATACATTATTCTAGCTGGGAAGCTCCATGAATCTCTCACTGAAGTCAACGGGAACTGTTCCACTGATTTTAACAGGAGCTGACACAGGCCCACATTCATCCACTTTCACAAGGGACACATGTTTGTCATCATTAACAAGCAACATCCTTGTGGCAGAGGCTTCGTCAAAGAGCAGCAGTGTATTGCCAGGAGAATATAAAAAACAAATCACAAATAACTTCTTCATAAAAAATTCAACCTGTTCAGAAACCAGAACAAAATAAGAGTAGTGTGATACTGTGCAAAGCACAGAGGACCAAGCACACAGCAATTTCTGGTGGATTATGAACGCAGACTCAGCATGAAATGCTGCCCTCAGACAGAACCAATTGACATTATCCATAATGTGAGAACATAATCACAATCTGCAAAGCAAAGGTATTAAAGTTACCATTTTATAGCATGGAAGTACCAAAAGTAGGCAAGTTTCTCTGAAACATCCTTCCCTCCTATTCACCTTTGCTTGTTCCTCTACTGCTAGTAGATTGAGACACTCAGTAGAGCAGTAATTCTGAAAAGCTGCTTCTCTCTCTCTCTCTCTCTCTCACACACACACACACACACACACACACACACACACACACACACACACACACACACACAGTGTCATATAAAAAGCAACAGCAGTTGCCAGATACCTTTTCAAATGTCACTGGACTCAGTTTAGGCCCCTTTCAAGAAGTACTTTTGTCAGGGTTCTATAGAGGCACCCATTAAGTCTGTTGAAGCCTGGGTAATGATTATGTGATTTTTCTTTACTAACAATAATGCTGGAATGTTTGGCTTAACGATGAATGGGGTAAATGCAACAGAACTGTGTAGAAATTTTAAAAGTCTGTCTAGACATTTCTCTTGAAAAAAAGATTCAAGGAAACTGATATACAACATCCTCCAATGGGTTCTCACCCACCTCTGGAACTCTGCAGAACGTGTTTTCCCACTATACTCAAAAAATGCTTCCTAAAATACTAGGGAAAAGTTACYATTTCTTAATCATATTCTGTAGTCAGTAGACTCCAGATTCTTCTCTGGAAGGAAAGTAGAGGATTGCCCGCAAATATTAAACTTCACATTCATGACATCTTCAGATTAACCCCCTCTGCATGACATTTCTCCAGAAAGGCCCTTCTGCCATCAAAAAACGACCCTTTTAAGCCATTTCACTATCACCATCACCAGTGAATCCGCAAAAAGGATTTACTACAAAAGAAAAATAAGCTAGATGAGTTGGAACCTATTAACATGTCTCTAACATACTACAATTAATGCTAGATTTGCAACTAACTGATCAACATGTTAAGTGATTGCTTATCTTTCAATGATAACTGGCTAGATTATTTCTGGAGATGTAGCTGGTAGGAGAATTTTAGTTATTTCTAAAATCCCAAGTAATAGATGTGAGGTTTGACATTAGTTGGATAATCCAACACTTGCTGGCCCCTACATTAAAATGACAATCACAGTTGTGAGAGCCTTTCCTGCTGCAGCATATTCAGCAGCTCCTTCCATTGTTACTTACTGCAACCAGAACTTAATGCTAGGTAGGTATACAGAGCAGCACAGGGTCCACTGCGTCAGCTTGGAAACCAGAAAACCACAGGAGGCTCAAACCCAAAAAACATCCTTCTCTCCCTCATCTTGCCTTCAGTTCCCTGTCTTACCCAGCCTATGGATAATTTACAAATCTTCAGCTTTACAGCACAAAAGGGACCATATGCTTAGAGATGGGGGAGCCAGCAAGGAAGCCCTCTCCTTTCCTCAGTAACATCAGGACAATGCTGTGAGATAACACTGCACAAACTACTAGTTTCAGAATTCTTCAGGGGAAAAAAAAATCCAGAGAATAGAGGGCTTGGAATAAGATTGTTAATCTGAGGTAAACAGGGTACAAGGTAGTTATTTTCATTTTGAGAGGTCAAAGTGATAGCAATGGCTGCCACCTCCTATCTGTAAGGCTGAGATAGGGTTTGCAGCAGGTAATTAATGTGGTGCGTGATCATTCCTAAAAGTACATGGCAGCGAGCCATATGCTTTCACAACTCTGTTTACATCACAGGAAGTGGGTGTTAAGAATAGCAGTAATTTTGATGTTTCTGTTTAAACATCCAATTTGGGATGTTTGAAACTGATCCAACTCTCAAGATAGGCATTAGATGCCAACTTCAGAATATTCAGGTCACTTGAAAATAAAGCCATCTAGACATCTGCAATCATTAGCACTAAAATCACTAGCTACTTCTGAAATCACTGCTCAGGATAGCAATGCTGCMAGAATTTGGTTCCTCTGAATGAGTTTATCACAGAAAATACCAAGTAACATGAATAAACACACCAAGGTCTCAGGTATAACAGCATCTCATGATTCAATTCTAATGATTTAAATTTAAGTCCTCCTAGCAGCCAGTGGGTCGTTAATTCTCCATGCTCTGTATCCCTTTTGAAATATAATTTATGCTTCAAAGCCATGTTGCTGCTTTATAAACACTGCCTTAGACAACATATGGTAGCAAAAACACAGTTGATGTATCCTGGAAAGCAAAGTGCAAAGCCTTTCAAGCATGCGGAACAAACCACTCTTTTATTGACATAAAAAGCAGGGAACTTACTTGGGAGAATTGTTTTGTAGCGATTCTTCCGCACTAAGCCTGGAATATCATATTCCTTTGGATCAACGAAGTTCATTGGAATTTCCTGTTCAAAAAATGCAGAGCAGGTAGTATTATTAGATTCACAAGAGAAATAAAAAGCGCAAACTCATTACGTCCTGCCTGTGAGGGAGGAGAAGAAATGAAGTCAGCTGAGACATATGGTACTGCACTTCTGGCAATTTACCACCAAAACATGATTGATGTTTCCTTTTACTGTCACTGGCTTTCTTTCCTGAAATACTTAATAGGAAAACGCTCATAGTGACTGATTCATTGAGTAATACGCACAGTGGCATTATGTCACCTCCCAGTATTATTAGAACTGAATTACAAGTGTAGGCACAGAACTCAGCAAAAAGGTGGTAGGTAAGATACCCCGCTTCAAAAGTCACGAGATCTCAGACACTCTCCTTTGACTCACACACCATGCCTTGCACTTGGGGCAAAGGGAATAACTTGGTGACAATTCCCCCCAGTAAAAAAACACGACATGCGCTGAGCAGCTGGCCTGGTGACCTGGCTCTAGGAGTCAAGATCACTGTGCTCTCTGCACTCCCTGGTTCTGTGGGCAAGGAGAGCAAAGATCTGTGCACTGGTTACCWGCTCCCCACACCACTGGATCAAAAGACACACGAAGATGGAGGGGCTTCTTGTTCTCCCTACTCATTTCTTACATAGCAGAGTATCACTTAACAAGAGACAACTTATACTACTACTACTAAAGCAATCGTGGAAGTACTATTTGGTACAACTAGCCATTGCAAATTTACAAAACTTCTGGGCATTAAACTTTTGTCCCAAAGGACTTTGAAATCCACTTTTTATCTCCTTACTCCAATTGCATATGTGAAAGCTAAATTTTTTCCCCAAATAAGCTAAGAGCTCTTTCTTCCAAATTCAGAGAAGATACAGAAACCAGCAAAAAATACTTCAGAAACCTAAAAACAACTAAAGCAGCTGCTTTTACCTGACAAATAATTTCTGTGCAGATAAAAACAAAACACACACACTAAAGCATGCTCTGTATGGCTCCTGCTGAGTGACATAGCCAACCGGTGCTTCAGCTATCTGGAGAACATTCAGGCAATTTAGATGATAGCTCTATGCCAAGCACTGAAAAGTAAAGAACAGTCATTTGGGTTGATTTCATCCCTAGGGCAACTCCAAAGATTTCAAGGAGTCATCCCTACAGCAGACTTGGCTTTTCCCCTCCGCYCCCACCTTTTCCTATAGTATAGGGATTTTTTTTTCCCCCCCTTTAAACATAACATGCTGAAAACAACAAACAAAATTCTGAAAACGCAGCTGTTTTTCATTGCCAGACAACTTCTATCATTTGTAAGTAGCAAGAACACTACAACCTTTCGGACTGTGTCATGTCAAAGAGTGATGAATTTGAGGATTTCATCAAGTGCTGCACTGCCAGAAGTGGAGTTTTYCCTCACTATTTTTAGTCTTGAGGCAAATAGCAACAAGATTCATAGGAGAGAGACAACATCCCTCTTGACTGATGCTCCTAGACTCTTACTGTGCAGAGAGAGGTCAGAATACTCACAAAGAACTCTGCCTGGAGTATGAAGGGATCCAAGGCCTTCTTGTGCAGCTCCTCTTCAGTCAGGATGTTTGATGCTGATTGAAGGTATTCTTGAGCTGACTGCTCCCGGGGCGACATGACATAGCCAAAGCCTTGCTCGGAGCAGCCCGGCGTACACATATCTAGTGTGAGTGAAACATTTGAACCTCTCCTGCAAAAAACAGCAAGTAGAGTTTGTTTACAGCAGCAGAGATGGACCCACCACTGTCAGCACATATCAGCTATGAATGCCATGCCAGTGACAAATAAATGATAACTTTAGTGAAAAAAAACCCACTCTGCTCATGATGCTGGAYGTGTTACTGTCACTCACTACCAATGCACAATGGGGGATGCAGTCAAGACCAGAAGATTGTTTCTGCAGTTAAAACACACGGGAAGATGAAGGCCAACACTTTCAAAATCTTGTCTATAGTCAGGTAACTCTCTGTACTGTTGCCTAAATACAAGCAACTTGTTTTTCAAAGATGTGGAGCAGGCAACTGCAAGGAAGTTTTAGTACTCGTGTAGCTCACACCTTATTTTCACATGTCAAAATACAGAGTGACATTTTAAATATCATTAGTGAAAATCCTGGCCCTAGTTTTCTTTAGGTTAGGTCTCACACACTATCCCTCCTGAATAAGAATTTACCAGTAGCCCAGAACAACATCAGTGCGGTAAGTTCTTGAGATAATTCTTAACAGYTCAATAAAAGGGCAGGAGACCCTTTACTGTAAATTTTTCTGTCTGAAAAGCTTTTCTTCCACCACAATTAATCATGAGAAGGACAAAATKAAGGCCCAAACATTTTGAAAGTGATAGTGACAGCTAAATGACCAATTCAACATTGGTCATGTTGAATACAGAAATATTAGTGGCATTTATATGTTAGCTGTGTCATAAAATGAAAAAGTCAAAATCAAGCACTGCTTATTGAACACAGTTTTAAGGCATTCCTGAACTTCTGCCAATCTAACACTCTATAGATAAAAGGTTTGAACTTCATCAGCGAGTGTCTAGTTAAGTAACTGTAAAACAATAAAAGCAGCATGGAATATCATGATTACTATCTGTAATATTCTTTACATCCACACAGTAGACCTGTATTTGGTGACTCAATTATCAAAATCTACTTGGGAACTACTTGCAGGAGCTGTTGTAAAATACATATGCATGCAGACACAACCAGCTCACAGAGAGCAAGTTGTTACTAGGATGACAGCCCTTTTCTGGATGCCAGAGTGTATCCATAAAATGTGCAGCCAGCCTCCTGCGATGATTCACAGTCGTGAGGAAAATAAACTTGCATGAAACATAACCACTAGTGGTAGACATTGAATTTTTAGTGGGCTATTTAATAAAATTTTCACTCTATCCTATGAGCTGTTCCATAGCTCTTACATTTCACCCTTAGAAATAGCTGCATTTGACTGGTAACAATTTTTTTTCCTCTTCTTTTTTCTCCCCCCCACCTTTTTTTTTTTTTTTTTTTTTTTTTTTTTTTTTTTTTTTTTTTTTTTTTTTTTTTTTAAATGGTGGAGGAAGCTATGTACTTGAGGATGTTAACATCTCTCCAAGATGCACAAATGAGATTGTCTCTTCTTAAGGCTAACATTCAGTGCTGTTCAAATTCAGACTAGTGGTTATCCTTGCAATGGTGCAAGTGGTTGAGGAATGACAGAGATGAAAGCTGGAGAAGCAGAGTGGGTGAAAAAGATGGGTGAGTAGGTAAATTAACAGTTACACCTAAAGAGTGACCGATGCCTCATGTGAATGCAATCTATCAGAGCACAACCCAAAGCTGAAATCACRTCTGTTTTCTCAATTGCATATGTATAAGAACAGGAAATTTTACATCTTATTATGCACGTTCTATATAGCACGAGAACCTCAAGCAATTGCTTTCTATTTTCTATCTCTGCTTCCCTCACAGTTTTTAATCGTTGTTGATTCAGTGCAACTCAATGATTCTGTTGTTTTTCAAGATCAATCTTGCTCCAAATAAAAACAAGGCCAACCTCACTGACATCAACAAGCTCCAAGATTTTCCCTAGAGGTCACTGCAATCTCATACTTAAAGCAGAAGATAAGGTAAAAGGTGTGACATTTTAGGGCAAATGATCTAACCATGATTTCAGAACGAGAAAAACAACATTGTAAGCTCAGAGGTGAATTAAAGACCTTTGCTGTAACACTCCTCTTTCCTCATGGAGCTCTGGAAACTTGACGCCATACACTTTTAGACAATCTACCCTTTGTTTTAAGTTTTAGATGACAGCATTAACTATCAACATTCCACTTAAGCTGGAAAGTCTGAGAAATAAAGTGATATTTTATGTTGCACCTTTCAGTAACCTTATTCATAGCACCAGCATCTTTGCAGAATTACTCAACAGGATTTCTGTCCTTGAGATGTGCTGTTTCACTGAGCTCTCAGCACARAGATGGAGGCTGCCACCAAGGTCAACTCAGGCTTCCTGGGAGCAGAAAGGATAGGATCTTCAACCTTAGCTTCAGAGAAGAGCATGTCAAGTTCGGTTTTAAGGTTCTTCTCCTTCCCTTATGCACACACATGCCTACAGACAAACACTGAATCTAGTCAAGTTCGACAGTCTCAAGGATGAACATGTAGGGATATCAGTCCAGCAGAGTGCCCAGCACTCCGCTGCACCTTTCCCTGTCTGCACTCACATGATCTGGGATTCGCATCTCCCTGAGACTTCTGTGTCTTTCAGAGCATGTCTGTTACAGGGACCCTTCTGTAAGATATTTGAGTGAAGATGGAGAAGTGTAACACAGATCAATACTGCATCTTTTCTGCCTTCCTTTTGCCTTAAAAATGTCTTTCAGCTGTGATTATCTGAGAAGCTCCATTCTCTTGCTGATTCAAGGAGTGAACACCAGCTTGCCTCAAATTTCATCATCAGATTCATTTCAAAGGAATTGATTTACTTTAGGACTAACCCTTTTATAAGAGAACTATAATAGATGACCATTTGAATTGCAACTGGCTTTTGGAAAAAAGACTAATCCTCCAGCATGAGTGAGGGGAAAAAATTAACAGGGTCCATCTTCTGGCAGTAAAAAGTTTTAGTGCCCTACAGTGGTTTTCATGCTTTTCAGTTGCCATCTCAGGACAAGATACTAATCAAACATAAATGGATCTTCTAAAGGAAACATTATTTATGAATAAGCCTTGTGAACAACCATCTGGAAACCACACATTTTTTGGCTGGTATATTGTATATTTATGATTGGACTGAAAACAGATAGGAAATCAAGTAGCAGCTTGGCTTTGAAATCACATTTTAAAGTGACATTCATGAACGCAGCAAAACATCCTGTTACACAGAACTCCTAAGCCCATAGAGCCTGGGACCCAACTTGCCCCTCTTCATCATATCTACCCTACCTTTCTTGCAAGCCCACGGATTTAACCGTTAGCGAGGCCGGATCCGTCTCTGCTTTAATGTCCATTACGCAGTCGAAGACTGGGGTCTCCGGTACGGGATCCAAATCTAGGAAGTCATCCTCATTTTTATCCTCTGTCCACTCKGAGTACGTGAACGACGGCTGGCGGCTCACAGATTGGCGCCTGTCCTCTTGTGGCGGAAAGGGAGGGTCTGAACGGGCTCTGATCAGATGCCAAAACTGGAGGAAACAAACATTTTTTAAAAAAACCCTTTCTGCTTGTTCCCAGCTTTCACAACCTAGAGAGGGTGTCTTTAGGGCAGCAGCCCTCATCATACCTCATAGAGCTGGATGCTATCAGAGAGGACAGGAGCATTCCATGCAGAAGCAGCTTTGCAGCACACATTACAAGGATGATTCACACCTACCTATTAAAACATCCTTTCAGCCACAGATATTTCCACAGAGGTAGCCAGGCTTAACTCGGGGACACTGAATGTGCTTGTGACTGTCATATGCAAGCCAATGTGACAGCATTGTCCCTTTRTTCAGTTCATTACCCTTCCAATGCTTGTATACAAATCCAAAAYCTACTATACTGTTCCACATATGTTGTCTTTCCTGACAAATTTCAGACATAGATACAACTGGGTTAAGACAGATAAACACAATGTTCCTGAATGACACATCCTTGGTAATCTGGCACCATAGCCTAGCACTGTAGACTAAACTCCCATATAAACCAATGGCATTCTAAAGAAGCCTGAGTTTTAATGCCCCTGGGTTTGAGGTTCAGAAATCAATATCACTTTTGACTAGTGATCGAGTTTGTTTACTAACTTAGCTGTCTGGTTTACACATTAAATAAATCCTCTGAAGTTCCTGGGCATAAATATAGCACTAGAATTTATTATTGGAGTTATGAAGGGCTGAAAATGGAACGAATTAGCAACTACTACATTATATTAGTAGTTCACTGTGGCAGACTAGATGATTTGAATATATTATTGGCAGACTGTTTAATCCTACACAGAGGCATCAGTTAAAAAGTCTGTATCTGAGCCCCTGGGTGTGGACTCTTAGGCCAACTTGACCCCTCTAATACAGAGCTAGGAGCAATGTTATGCAGGTTAAGTGTTATAAAACTATCTTGTCCTTCTGTACACGCTTTTGAGACCAAGGAGATTTACAGAATGTGGCATATTTCTCAAGGTAAAGCCTCTTCTGTTTTTTCCTTATGTGGCTTTTAAGTGGGCAGGTGACTTCAGAACACATTTGATGCCAAATATCCACCGAGTCTATCCACGTTTGGCCTAATGGATGAGAAACAAGATGCCTAAAGATCTGATTCTACGTTCAGTTTCTAAGATGCCTTCTGGAGCTTGGTCGTCTCGCAGCACTAGCCATGGTCCTTACACAAACCCAAGGACTGTAATATACCGGCAGGTCACAAGGTGAAGTAATTAACTGCTCGACAGCTTTGTACAGGAGAGGCATTTGCTCTTGTTGCTCCCATCAACACCGAGGGGCCAGCTGTAAAGCTGGGTGCCAATTACATGCTACAGATGCAGTGCAGAGCTGGTGTGGTCACATGGGATTGACTTCACTGGTGATATAATGAGCTGTAAATCCAATGGAATATAAAGTTTGTCCTAAAAGCAGAGATGCTTTTTTTTTTTTTTTTTTTTTTTTTTTTAAAGGTTGAAAAGAGTGTGTGGACAGTAATATAGGCCCAAGATACCAGAGGAAATTAAATCTCATTACTTAGAAGTAATGAGATTAAACTAAATAAAAGAGAAATAGTCATCTCTGAAAAGCTGGTCAGCAGGACCAGACCCTGGTTCTTTGCAGCTGCCTGGGTCTTAAAGCACCATCTCYTCCTCACACGAGGCAGAAAACAGACAGCATCAGCAATGCAAACCTCAAGCGCTCTACGCAGCCAGCTGTTCTCACTGTGGTCACTAACCTAGCAACACATTCTGGTAATTGGGTATCCTCAGAAGACTGCCTCAAACTTTGGCTCATGCCTGCTCTCCTGAAAAATTTGTGCCAAGATGTCAGATTTATGAACTCCTGGATACATGATATGGATTTTGGTGCGTGCCCAGTGCAGAGAGGCATATTAATGCTCTGGGTATCATGTCTTGGACTCTGCTTGCCTACCATTTCTCATCCTTGTTAGATGGTCCAACAGCTGTTCCCCTACATTAAAACAACAAAGTAGCTGGATCGCCACAATTTCTCCCTTCCCCAGAGAACCTTAACACAGGTGCTGAAATAAATAAATAAAATGGGGACTGAGACAGAGGGAAAACCAATAAATAATTAAAATTGTGGAACTAACTGCTCTCCATCAAGCTGGCATCTAGAAAATCTGCTCAGCTCTACCACTGCGCTATTTGTCGTGTCCGGTTAGCGTGTTTTACACCTTTCTCCCTAAATGCTGGCAGAAGCAGATGTTTTCATCTGCTGTGTGACCTATCCTTATTTACATTAGTGTAACTGTTTTGTTGAAATGAGTTGCTACTGATGCAAAAGCGTTCAAGCTCAGACTGGAATTTTTTGAGGTGCACAGAGCTCTAATACCAGTGCTAAGAATGACTTGGAAATGAAGTGTTTCCACCCAGCTACAAAGAGGTTCAATATTAAGAGAAATCATGCTCCTTCTATTCTGATTTCCAGCTCAGGTCATTTTTCTGCAAAACCAAAGCAGTATCAAAAAAGCACAAAGTTGTATAAGTCAGGCTATCTTCCTTACCCTCCAGCAATGACCCCAATAATGGTGAAATATCAGTAATCACTTCACTTTGTGAATGGTTTTTAAAAGCATGTGCACCTGACACACGAAGCAGATGATTTTGTCACTGTGCAGTCCCCTACGTCATTGAACTGTGAACTGTATTACCACAAGCTTCAAATGGGGCCACATGAGGAGTGTGGCCAGCAGATTGAAGGAAGTTGCTATTCCCTGATACCCAGGGCTGCTAAAGCTGCAGCTTGYACACTGGGTCCTGTTTTAAGCCCTCCAGTTTAAGATGGACATGGATAAATTGGAGTGGGCCCAGTGGACGGCTGTGAAGGTCAGGGGTCTAGAGCACACGGCCTGTGAAGGAGGCTAAGGAGCTGGATTTTCTAGCCTGGAAAGAGCCTCTAAAAGAGGCTAACAGCAGCCCTCATCTGCTTGAAGGGCAGTGGCAGAAATGATGCAGCTAAATTCTTCTTGGGAGTGACAGCTGAAAGCACAAGGCCAACAGGCAGCCAAGTCAGCTCACAATATTCAGACTGGACACTAAAGAAAGTTTCTTCCCGACAAGGGCCAGGCAGCCCTGGCACAGGTACACACAGAGATGATAAACCCTGCAGGATATCAAAACATGTCTGCAAAAGCCATATCTGACTGATCTAGCACTGGTGACAGCCCTGCTTCGAGCAGCATGTTGGTCTAGAGATGTTCAGAGATGCATTTCTATTAGCAGTCCTATAGCTCTATCATGCATTATACTGCTCAGTATAATGTAGTTTCAGTTTCCTGAGGTGTCTGGAGATGGACTAAAGACAGAAGGCCATATTTTACCTATGTTTTCAGGGACTCTACTACCACTCTAATAACAATAAAACAAGGGTAAGAGCCTCAATCAGCTAGAGCTCCCTGAAAAGAAAGAATTCCCCCTYGATTTCCCATCTAGGGCACATCTTGGTGCCAGTTCCACAATCAGTGGAGAAGCACAACACGCTGCCCTTCTGCTCCCAAGCAGCTCRTAGCTAACTAGAACTGCAGCCATGCCATCCATCTTGTCCTGCAGCTGGGGCCCTGGCCCTACATTCACAATCATACTCATGCTCGGAACTAGCTCGTGCTCCCACTTCAGTCAATGACAGCTCTATGATTAATTCTTAAGGCAGCAATATTTGCTGCTTCCTCTACTAGATCATCTCCTGCCTATTGTAAGTGAAAATACTTTACTCACCTGTGTATGGAAGTAATAAAAGCCATCATCTGAAACCCCATTTCATCAAAAAATTGAGCAAGAACAAGTGTAGTCAGGATTCCTCTATGTAAAGCATGACAGTAATTACACAGAAATATCCCAGAAGGTATTACTCTAAAACAACTTCAGCTTGACTGAGCAAATTAGACATTTTCGGAAAATACACTGCAACGAGACATGAACATGGTTTTGCAGTATCATGGCTTACCAGAGATCCTACAAGTAGCAGTCCTAGAGAAGCTAATGATAGCAGGATATAGGATATTACGATGCTCCCAGCTCTGGTCAGGTCCTGTGAAATGACAGAATCGACAATGATTTATTGCACTATTCCATGCACTATTGAGGGGCATGGAACAGCATCTGTGTGTGTCCTTGGTAAACAGGCTGTATTCATTCTTGGATTTATCACGTTGATCAGTCACAACTTATTCTTGTCTGTGTGGAGCTGTTATATTCCACCAATAAAAATTCCAGGCTTTGGAGAAAACCGAAATGGAAACCATCTCTGAGCCCCAGGACCTCCAAATATCCCAAATTGTCTCTCAGTAATTTGGTACCAGCCATCACAGTGAAACTGCTTCCTACCCTCATATATTTCCAATATTCACATCTGGATCTGTGACTCAATTTTGCAGCTTGGGCTTGTCATAGTCCAAGTAATTTCTGTCCCTTGGCAAAGGGCTTTGGTGGAAATTTAGTGCTGTTCTTTTGATTACAGGCCTTTACAAAAAAAATAAAAATAAATAATAATTCAACCCCAAGAGTGTTTTAAATTTTCTATATATTCTGAGAAGTGTCATGATGTTCACTTTCAGCACTGCCAGGGAAATTCATGCCGATATCCTGGCCATATCTATGTAGTTCAGAGATCAGCCTATTCTCAGTAGKAGGTGCACAATGTCCTTCTATTGGGCTTCAGAGGGCTAGGATTTTTGGTCTGCTGCTGATGCATAGCTAGGAAGAAATGCAGAATTAAGGGCTCCTATTTGCTCATTTTAGTGACAGTACATTTCTTCCTCTTAACTATTCTCAAGTCTAAATTGTAGTAATTTTGTACTGTAAATAGTGCCGTAATAAACAGTCCTCAAGGATATGCATCTGCAGAGTCATACTTGGGGTGTTCTGGTGGTGCATTCTAGGAATTGCTCTTCTCCACGCTGAACCCTCAAAACACTTATTTTAAGCCCAAGTCATATAAATCAGGGGTTTTCTGTAATAAACAATTACTCAACGACGGTCCCACTGCATATAAGATAATCAGAATGCCTTATCTTCTATAAAGAGCTTTGATTATGCATTAGTAATCCAACTGAGAAAAGTCAAAGTACTTCTTTGCAGTATACAAAAGAGCAGGTGACATGYAGCTCACACACTGTTAAGTGAGCACAGGAAGCAACCCGCACGATACTTCAACCCCAAGAGGCAGAGCTCCTGATTCTACTGCACAGCCTCTGCCACAAGGACCGCGTACGATGAATCTAAACATTGACGCAAATATACTTGGTGTGATTTTTGAAAGTAGCTGCTTACCATTTAATTAAAGTTCTGTCCACACTAGAGAAATCTGCAGAGGGTATAATTACCTCAGCAATTCATCAGATGAATCATACTGGTGTGCGTGTCATTCTGTCATGGTGAGAGGCTAAGCATTTTTATTAGGGTAGCTCTGTAGAYATAACTGTGTCTGTGCACCTGAAATACTTTCACCACATACAGATTTGCTCTAAACACTCAAGAAAAAACAAAAAGTTACAGTGAGTCTTGTGTTTCACAGCCTTTTTGTGCTCCTTCCATCTTCCCAAAATCTAAGATTCTATCCATCYTCATAAATAAGCTTCAGCTCTCATACTGTGGAGTAAACCACAGAGGCTCATTACTTGGTTTCATTTACAATCATTCTCAATTTATTTAAACTCCACTCTGCAGATTTAACAACATGGTCAAATTTAGCCCTTTTTTTCCAAGACTGTATTTTCAGAAAATATTTTCTACCATACATAGTACAACAGTCACTTTATTAACTGCATATGTATTATACACTTAAACCAGAGAAATATTTGAAGCATCACCTAAGGCTACTAATATCAACCACTCTACCAGAGACACAAACACAGGAACCTACCTCTCCTTGGTCTGACAGAAACTGCCCAAAGGGGGTAAGTGTGTAAGAGAGCAGGTCCAAGGCGTTCTGAGCTGCTGGGATGGTCCCGTACGTGCTGTAGCACAGCATCATGCAGAGAAGCTGCGCAAGCAATCAGAAAACACATAACGAGCACTCCTCCTTAAGCAACATTTTCATTTCAAGACTGCATAATTAACTAATTTAGTTCTCATCAATTTTATGTTGATTACGATTTTCGCTTTTAGAAGAAATCAGGTATTTTCTGTACTGCAGCTTGATAGGAATAAAAAGACTGAGATCTAAATGCTCAGTTAGCATTAAGTGGACCTAGGTCATTGATTTTACATTAGCAAAGGACTGCGTACATCAAAAGAGAAATAGAGATCCCTCTGAATTATTTTTAAATCAAAATGGGTATTCAATATGCTTTGCATGTTATTGAAAGGTCTACACCCTACTACATAGAGCTCTCTCAGATAACCATATCCACACATATTCCCACACAGACATATACACATAAATACATACATGTTGAAACATTTCATTCGAGCCACTCAAGGCTGCACAAATGTTAAAAGCAATAACTGCCACAGAGAGAAGCAGCCCCMTCCCATACCAAGGGGGACAGCTCTAAGGGGTTCCCCTCCCAGGTACTTTTGAACCAGAGGGATGCTATCCCTCTGCTTAGCAGTGGCACAGGATGGCTTTGTAGCAAAGTGGACTCTTTGGGGAAGGAGATATTGGTAGAGGGGCAGCAGGCTGGAATGGGAGCCCGCAATTCGCAAGAGTGGGGATGGTGGTAAAGCTCCCATACCAAAATAGCTTTAAAAAGGGGGGCCCCAGTGTTTCAAAGCGACAACAAGCTGCCTTACCAACACCTGCGAGAGGACAAACAGATACATCCTGTCTCCRGGCACTAATCCACTCCACCGGGCAGCCCAAGCGAGCGGGGCCGTTTTCCGGCAGCTTTCCCCAGACTGCTCCTTCCTGCTCAGCCGTCCCGCTTGTCCTTCAGCTTCCTCTCCTGGCTCCATCACAGCTGGGCTGGCGAGACCTTCACGGGCAAGAGACACGTGCAGGGAGTGAATAGCCGGCAAGCGGCAGGCGCCGCGGAGCTCTTGTGTTCCCGGGGACGTGAGCTACCCCGCAGCTCYGCATCCCCGAGCGCTGCTCGGGACTGCGAGCGTCACGCTCCGGTAGTGCAGCTCTATTCACCTGCCTTCGTCAGGAAAAAGGGAGTGTGGGTGGATAAATTATTTTCCCTTTCTTTCCGGAGGTGCAGAATCTGCACTTTGTTGTTAATAAATTCTCATKTAGACTGCTGCACCTTTTTGTTTTTTCTGTTTCAAAAGAACCTTCTGTGCTATTTGCTACTACACACTTCCCAGCTGCATGAGGGCAAAACTACCTRTTTTGTCCCATTCTTGCTCAGTTTCTCTCTTTTCCCTTTCTTGGCTGCTTTTTCTCTGATTTAAATATAAATTTCTAGTGCACAGACTGTCCTATTCYGGGTGTCTGGAGAGTGCTAACGGACTCTGGATTTTGTCAGGGTGTCCCAAGGCACTACTAAAATAGGCTTTAGTTCTAATAACTTCTGGAATGAGTTTTTACTCAAGACTTAATAACACTGTAATGCTTTTCCATTCAATGTAAAGCCGCAGTGGAGTAGCTAGCCACCCAGTAATAGTATTTTGGTGCAGTATGCACAGAAGCAAAAGCATTTACAAGTTGGTGGTGACAGTGACAGATCAGGCCCATTCAATGCAATTACTAATGATTTACATCTTGCCATGGGAGGAAAGCACCAAGGCTTTGTATTTTATATAAATATTTCTCCAGATGCATGGGTAACAGATGTACACCCAGGTATATGTGCACATACCATAGGTAATGCTGACAATAACTGGCAGACTCTATTTTCTGTGTGCTGACTTGGTACATTTCCACAAGCACGATCAAGGGTTCAGATTAAAGGTCAATAAAACATAGAAGAACAACCAATTAAAAAGGAGAGGAACATAGAAATGCACTAGGAAGTGYAAGTTGCTGCTGTTTCTGATTTCACCTATTTGTCCTAAGGCCCTGGATTCATCCTGAAAGGCTATGGACAGACATGTCAAAAGCTGTTCTGTTATGTCGAGAGCAGCAGGCAGGTCTGGAGAGAGCCCAGAAGCAAAACCACCTTCAGGAGTGAATTGTGCCTCACTTGTGGTAGTGATTTGTCTGCAYCAAAGTTTAATATCTCCATGCCATGCTCCCGAATTTTTGTCTTATGAAGATGAGGATTTGAGATGCACAAACACTTTTCCTTCACTATAAGCCTGCACTTGCTAGAAAAATCCTTCGGCAGAAAAAAGAAGAGGCCTCTGAGGGCTGTCGCAGCCATAGGGCTTGTTAAAGGAACCTAAAATCTTCYGACAGCATCACAAGTCCAGCCATCATCCTTGCACTTTAAAAACAAACTCTTTGAATCAAAGCAACCATCCCTCCATTCTATACTCTTTCTCTGAACATATTCACSCACATGGCACAACATACTGTTATGTAACAATCTACACAGGGAAACTTCTTATCCATTCCCAAAGTAAAAGTTGGCTTCCTTTATGCAGAAAATGTCTATACAGGAGCCCCTGTAACTCTATCTCCTCCTTCATTGGACTCTGTGTATGAGCACATAAAGGATAGAAGAATAAACAGAGAACATATATATTCTRTGTGAATAAAAAATAGGGTTAGAATACTACACTTCAGGGAACTACTGAAGGGCACTATTGGAGCAATGGGCAAGGCAATGCCTTCCTGCACGACATCTGACTGCTACTGTAGGCAAGGCAGCAGCAGCTCCTCAAAGTCAACTGATTTATCCTGAGAGCCTTCACAGGTAAAGCAGCACAGGCCCAGGACCACACATCCTGGCTGTATTTCTCAATGAAGACAGTACTTTGCAAGAAAATTTGTCCTCTGCTATGCAAAAATGCTGAATTTAACAAGMTAGTTGTGGGATGAAAAGACTTGCTCCTTACCAAAGAATTTTTGTAATGGTAAAACAAAACGCAACTTAGCAATGAAAAGATAACTGTTATACATTTAAGTTTTACTCACATCCATTACACTCTGCCTGCACAAGATTCCTGCACACATCTTGGGTTGTGGTGACTTTTTCATTGGTTTTTTTTTTTCCCATGGTGGCTTCTCAGGTAGTGATAACTCTTAGGGTCTCTGGCACCTATGCAATATAGCTGATCTATTAAAACATCATTTCAAGAGGAACGAAGAAAGCACTAACACCCACGGTTGGTGCACATGCAGAATTGGTGCCCCACATCCCTCTCAATCTGCCCGGCTCCTGGTGATTGCTGTGCCTGCCAAGAATTGTTTTCCGAAGGAAAGAATGGCAAAGTATAAGCACGTCCAACAAAAATAACCTTTAAGTAATCTTTTTAGCGTGGTGGTGTGTTGTGGGAAGCAGACATCAAAGAGAGCTGTCAGATGTCTATGTCAAAAAGAATTTGGGTCCCTACATTCCCTTCTCCATAGGAACTCGACCAGCCAGCCACCTCAGAAACCTCTCCTCAACTTCTTCAAACCATCAGCCACTTTCAAGGCTGCTTATGGATGGATACAATTCACCACTCRGAAAAGTCTTTCTTCCTGATGTTCTCTGCATTCCTAACTTAAATTGTCTTGATATTTTCAWTTCCATCCTGGAAAAAGCTCCAACTCTAGCTGCCAAACACTTGTTGTTGGTAGATCTTTCATTTGTACTGGGAAACCACATGGGGAGCTCCTCAGGAGATACCAGACAGCTTAATTCAAGCACTAGCGAGAACCTGGACAGACACAAGAATCTGTGACAATGACTTAAATTACAGCTTTGAAACAGAAAGCTTTGGGTAGACACATGCACAKATGCAAAGTGTCTACCTTCAATTGCTCAGACTACAATAGGAAAAAAACCTACTTCAGCCTCTACTTCTGAAAGAAGCAAAGAAACTAATAATAAAAAATACAACCTTTCTGCATCATTACAAAAATGCAGACTTAGACACAATAATGCTCCTCGCTAATGTTAAAGGGAGAGGTGGGGAAAAAAAAGAAAGAAAAAAGTAAATCTACCCCAATAGGATAGAGAACAACCCAGAAATGTCAGAAATGCCAGTAAGTGCAAGTCCCTAAGTCTAAGTACTTTCTGGGAGTACTTAGTATGCTTAAAATCTGCAGCCTTCACACTGGGAAGAGTAAGTGTTCTTTGCAGAGTTCTTGAAACAACAGCACAGGGAAGGAAATGGGTCTCACCTACAAGCCAGGAAAAGCACTGAAGTTTCAGATCGACTTTCAAGCTCAGTTGGTGGAGTCTGGCTGCAGCATGAGCCAAACTAATTTCTAAAAAGGAAAGACATCAAGAGAAAAGAAAGAGAAGAATACAGTCATGCAGAAAATCTGGGATCATGACAGGCACTGAACTGAGATCTATGCATTTCTAATCCAATGCCTTTACGCCTTCACTGGTATAATCTTTAGCAGACTTCTTAGAAAAGCAGCTTTGCCAAAGGAGAGTCAACATTTACCCCTGCTCTTTACTTGAGCTGAGCACTGCTGAACAGAACACAGGCTCTGCTCCCTGCTGGTGGACAGCCCAGTCCCACCTCTGCTCRGCCTCTTCCCGTTGGAGGGGAGCGGGGCCCGATGCTGGAGCGGGCGAGGGGAAGAGCTGCTGCCTTGCTGCTCAGCAGTTCCCTGCCCAACTGCTGACTCACACGCTTGCTCCGCATCCATTTTCACACTGCTCCCACTCAGGCCACCTGCCACTTCATCTGCGACGGGTGGGAGGAGAGAAAAGGGGTGAAGTCAGAAGAGGGAGAAAAAAAAAAAAAAAATGTTCGCTGCCACCCATGCCTGTTATCATAACGCAGCAGGGTCACCTCTAAGAACAAGCCTGCAAGCTGCCATAGAGATGCAGTGGAGAAACAGCAGATTGCAAGACAAACTGCCTCCCTCTCCTCTCCTTCTACAGGAGGGTGACTGGCCAGCTACAGACTTGCAAACCTCATTTGACTGCCCAAATCATTGGTGCTGGGGGCTTGATGTGCTGTGTAACCTTCCAGCTTCAGGCAAAGCCTTGGGTTTTCCCTCTTTTCTCTGGGTTAGGTGAATTTTCTGGATGCCAGGATATTTTACTGCTCCAAAAGACACCATGCAGTAAGTGCCTGGCTGCCAAAGGAAAGTGGCCCAGTGACAAGCGTCACTGCCATCTGGACAGACCTTTGATTGCTGAGGCCAGAAGTGGAAGATGTCCAAACCTCACTCTTCTTTCAGACAGAAGAATATGGAAAAGATGAAGACAATCTTAGCTACTTGCAGCTCTCATGATAACCAAATATAACAAGAACCAGTCTTCTATTACCTGTCTGCTAAACCACAAAGTAAAAAATGGACCCACATCCCACTATCAGTGCTGGTACAGATGCTTATCATGATTATTGATATCACAGCTGCCTAATAAGTTAGGTTGGACAGAGAACAGCAGCCATGTGAAAAAACAAGAACCTTAATTTAATAAGTTCTCAAATTCTCCTAAAAGCAGGTAGCAGCTTACATAACATAAGGCTAACAGCTTGAAATCTCCCTTGCTGCTTAGGTTGTTCCTCTTCCACTYGTTCAGAAGTCTGAGCTGGCAGAACCAACTTGGAATGTGGAGCACTTACCAGCAAGCCTCTGGTCATGTTTTGGTTTCTTTTCATTCAAGATATTTTACACACACTAAGTTCAAAATAAACATATGATTCACTAAATCATCAAGTTTTTTTCTTTCTTTCTCTCCTTTATTTGGGTTTCTGGAGAACACCATTTATCACTTACGGAAAACAAGGTCCCTAGTTTTAGTTGATTAGTTTCTGCGCTTGCTAAGCTGACTTTCAGATGGAACCAGGACAACTGTGCTGAATTTTTAGAGYAATTCTTCGCTTACTGCTACTATTTGCATCCAGTAGAAAAATTAGGGCTTTGTAGATAAGGATTTTGTGTTATTAAGCCTAATTAGTACTTCAAAAACAGAATCTGTTTTTTCTCTTGTGGGAAAGGGTCTGTTTTTCACTAACCTTGTATCTGGCTTCTCAATAATTCTCATGGAGTAGTTTGCTCACTTGGAAATGTGCTTGCTCTCTACAGGCCTCAAATGCAGAGACAAAAGTCAGTCTGAGTTGGGGTTTGATCTGAGGTTTCAGTGATACTCTATTGATAGGGCTTCCATATTTCCAGTTTTCCAGTTTTATATTTTTTCCCCCTAAAGGCAATCATAATTCTGTTGCCCAGAAGAGACTTCATGACAAAATTCGGTTATCTGGAAGGGAAAAGAAATACGGGAAAGTGAAAAACAGAACTCAAAGCCTTCCCAAATTTCCCTGCTTCCCTTTTTTTTTTTTTTTTTTTTGTTCCAAGTAATCAATAGACTTTGGAAGGCAGTTTTATGTTCTAGCACCGCAGCAGGAAAGATGCAGTCTGCCACAACAAACTGACTGAAGGGTGAGAACTCAAGGCTTCCTCTGAGCTGCTACCGATCTCTTCCTTCTCAGGAGAACCCAGATGCTCAATATCCTACTCCTCCCAGACCTGGAATCGTACACAGCACTTTCGGATGTTTAATATCCCCAGTCTATCTAGTAAGAGGAAGTAACTTATTTCACCAGACCTCTAGCCTGTCATGATTCCTATGCAACATGAGAGCTGAAAGGGCTAAACAGTCCAGAATAGGATTGTCTGATACTACCCAAGCTGAGGTATAGGCCCTGCTTACATGGGAGTGAGAAAAAACAAACTCTGGCTTTTTGCTCTAAAAAGATAGGGCTCCTATTTCCACAAAAGGAGAAAGGCTAGGAGTCATCACCAGCAGAAAGGTTGTCACAGAAAACAACCCTAGGGATAGTTACTATACCATCTGCTGAGGTCTGATTCTCCCAATACTGCTTACAAACTTCTAAGCCTCTACTGAGAGGGAGTTATTCTTAATTTCCAGGTCAAGTACAGTTATGCCCTTGTGCACATGTAAACRGTACTCCCATTATTAAATAAATTCTTAACAGCTCTATTAAAGCTCACAGGTTTTAAGCACAAGACCGTGTTAAGCACTGTCCTTTTTCAACTAAGAAACACATCAAGTCAGGGGGCATGTTATTTCTCGTGGCAGCCTGGGACACTAGGACAGAGTCTTTGCTTTGAGACAATTAAAGTATTAAATATGGGGTCAAATTACAGCTCTTAACGAGCGAACACAGACCCTTGGTAGGCAGAGGCGGTGAATATTAACCTCCATCACACCCACACATAATTAGCATTTGCCATCTCTCAATCAGGCCTGTATTCAAAGGCTTTTGTTTTGATAGGAGGCTCTTCCCTCATTTCCTCACAAACCCTTTGCAGAAGGGCTTTCTGATTACTGCCTAACAATTAACTGCAGCCCTTTTTTGTTTTGAAGAATACATTTCTCTCTCTCTTTTCTTTTCCCTTCTTCAGAGAATGTTTTTAAGTGCCTGGGAATATTTGGGGGTACCTTTAGTTTCCATAGGAAGACAGTACAGGTGGCTTTCAACTGAGTTCGTTGTCCAACATCATTCCCRGCTTCCCAACTCCCTTTAATACTGAAAATGGAAACCCACAGAACAACTCTATAATTCCATAGCTTAAAATAGAGAGCTAGAGTTTCACTCTTGATTTAGCCTTGGACAGACAAAACAGCCACTGAAAACTGCCAGCAATGCAACAAACATGCAGATTTAGATATATAGGGTTGATATATTTGTGACACAAGATGACCAACACTCGCCCCCAAATCACCATTTTTGTGCCTCTAAGCTTTAATTAGAAGATATGTTTAAGAGTGTCTAATGCATAAACAACAACAACAAAAACAGCTATAGTAACTTAAAAGAATTACTTGCATTAGGGTTTTATGCATTTTTGAAAATATGTTGTATTCATAATGCTGCTGTTGGTTAGCACACTGTTATTGCTTTATAAAACCCAAAATCTCTTCTCATAAATGAGCTTCTGCAGCTCTRATATCAATCCCATTTGTATGTATTTCTTATTTCTCTTGAGCAACTTAGTTCTCTTCTTCTTCTCTTGAGCAACTTCTCTTGAGCCTGGTGTCCTGTAGGTTTTAAATCTGCTCTTTGCTCTAGGGATATAAGGGTTTGGGCTTTGAAGCAGATGGGTGAGACGCTGGCCTGCTGCCAGTTTCAGACATGAACACTCTGATGTCATTCACTTGAGCGGAACCTGCTTTACGAAGTGGCTAAAATCTCACACCCTGAAGCCTTCAGCAAAAGCACCAAGTAAGGCACCATCACATTCAGCCTGCATTCCAAAGACATTTTTTCCTGAGCAAAGCAAGGTCATATTAAGACCAGTCAAACTGATCATCTCCAGCCACACACGTGACACACACCTTAAGGTTACTATCACAAGCATAAACATTTCATTTTCTTTCATGGATTTACAAGACCGTATTTACACATCTTCACTGACTCCACAAGCAGAGCTATCATTCAGATACTGTCATTTAGGCTCCAGAATAAGCAAATGGATGGATAAAGGAGTAAACAGCTAGAAATAAGAGTCAATATTACTCAATATCACTCCTATGCTACAATGTCCTATTTCCACCTTGGGAAGCTCCATTACAGACACAAATGCACAGCCTGGACAACTAAGTGCCGTTGCTTCCAGCTCACTGTTCTGCTACCTCCTTACCAGCAGCCCCTRCATCTTAGGGACACACAGAGGTTGAAGCCTGACATGTATAAAGGTGTCAACAGCTTTCTCTCCTCTCCAACCATCCACATAATAGCACAAAATGTGAATGCTGCATCYACAGGAAGATAATAGTCCCTGTTGTTTACTTGTGTCCGGTCTGTGAGGCTTCCTGTCCTACCTGTGCTCTTCAGTGCAGCCACACTGCTATAAGTAGAGCACCAAGAAACCTAACAGTGTCTTCCCACTCTCTTTCCTGAGGCRGAATTAGGTACAAGGGAATGTTATGGCTAGATAAACAGACACATGCAAGCTATTACACATCTGTTAGAGAAGGTGAGATGGAAAGAAAAGAGCACACCTTGTCTTACAGGATAATGAGGAGCTTTGCAAATTTTCTGCAAGGATTTTGCATCTCCTGTCTGCAGTCAAAAATCTGCTCTCTGCAAAATAATCCAGAGAGTCCAACTCAGTGGATTTCTGCATCCCAAGACTCTGGTTCACCTGAGAAGGTGACTGTACCTAATACCACACAGACTCATTTTGCTATAAACTTAGCAAGAGCTGGCATTAACCAGCAGGGCTGCAAGGCAGAGGGTAAAGAGTGAGAAGATACATTTTTGGGGTCCTGCAACAGTTCCAGGGACAGCTTGGTCTGAGCTAATCTGGGGATTTTGTATTGTCCTCCAGCAAACACCGTGGAAATGCTCTTAGATACCTCGCATCCGAGCCATCCCAGAGAGGACTGCAACATCATCTCCTATCAGCTGGCAGGTCTTCTGAGTCTGTGGGACCCAGAGCTGCCAAGGATGGACACTGTTAAAACCTCCCTTGCTGCAGGTATAACGGTCTCACGATATTTCCTCTTCTGAGGATGAAACGATGGTGATTCATTTCACCATCTCATCTATGAATTGAGGCTGTTGAAAAAATATTTTTGTCTTTTTTCCACACCTCAATTAAAGCATTTCTTCCTTTTCATGAGCAACTTATTTCATAATACCTATAACTCAGGCCATTGCAAATAGAGCAAATCATATTCTGATGGACTCCTGGCTGTCCTGCTGTTTTGCTCCCACATTAAAGTATTGCTCACTTCCTATAAAATTCAGCACTCGTTTAATAGACTTTGAAGTAAACAGAATCAAATGCTACTTATGGGGTGTGGGTAACSAACATGTCAACGAGAAGCAGCATTTTTTTCTTTTAAGCTATATTCCTGCTGTGCTATGCTTAACGCTCCATCTGCAATATTGGGAAATGTTAAAACCCTCATACCATCTTCCACACTGAGGTATAAATTTGACTTCTACAAGGACAACTTGGACTCATGCAAAGGAATCTTGGAAATCTCTTTCTTAGCTTCTAAGGACAAATGTGTAACTATCAAACCAGCCCTACCTCCAACSTCTCAGCAGATGCCAAACTAAAAGATCTTTTAGTTTGGCATCTCAAGGACAAGTATATGCATCCCACACTTGTCCTTTTGACAGAAGATAGTTATTAATTATGTTATGAAGACCATAATCAAAATGCATAGCTCTGCCTTGTTTGTTATGTTCTGCCATGTCTACACTTAGCAGAAGCACTGCAATCTATTTCCAATGTGCCAGAGACACAAAAGATGAAATAYCAGGATTTCCCCAGAAAAATAAGACCTAATGCTACACTCCACTCCACATACTGATCTTTCATCTCTACAGATCATGAAAGAACCTTAAAAGCTGAAAGGCTGTAGCATCACACTACTAAGAGATGGGTGTAAGTCACACATCTCTTCAAAAGGAGAGACAGTACTTTAGTAGCGCACAGAAAAGCATGAGCAAAGAAAGCTTCACCTAAAAGCTGTTGCACAGGCATCATGTGCCATGGAAAGGGATACATGCTCTTTATATCTCCAGTAAAGGAGATGCAGAACTTGGCAGCTCTAGGGAGCCCCCCACCATCTAGGGAGCCCCCCAGAAAGAGGAATTACCTACTCTGAAGAGATCTCTATATTTATCTTTAGCTTCCACAGAAGGCAGAGAAGACAGAAGGCATTTAAGAGCCTTTCAGGAGTGYCATCCCTCTTCCTTAAAGTCTGTCAGATTGGTTAGACGAACTTGGTACCGAGTTGAGCAGGAGCCTATGCAGAAAAGATCAGGCCTGCCAGTCTAACCCCCTCACCATCRCTTCTCAGCTTGGAGGTAAAAGGCCTTTCCTACAGGTCATTCCTAAAAGGGAGTCAAAGGTATTCAGACTGTAAGAGACTTAGCAAAGCAACCCACCAGTCACTTGAGGGTCAATCATCAATAAATCCCATTGGGTATTTATCTGCCTATTGTCATACAAGTGCTGCAGCAGAATGGAGCTTTAATAGAATATTTTAGTTAATTAAATCTGGAACATTAATGGGTTTTTCATAACACTGTGGTACTGTATCTACAAAAAAGCAGTTAAAAAGGGTTCTATTTAAAAAGTGGAGAGGTTTAGTCTTTGAACATATGCTTAATGAATAAAACTGTTGGGGAAAAAAGGCCTGTGTGTATTGAAGGGGTGCAGTATGTTTGTTCTCACTTCCAAGTATGCCATGATGGCAATCAGCAGCAGTAAATGGCCTCTATTGTGAGGACTAAGTAAAATTCCATTTGGCCATTTACTTTCAGGTGAAATTGCTTTCTTTTTCAAATAACACATTCTTTGAGCTAAGCAGCCAAGCTGGAAATAAAGCAGTGCCAGATTCATGTTATTAAGGACACCTGACAAGCATTCACACTTCGGGGTGGGTGCAGAGTACAAGAGCAGCACGGGAACAGGCAGGCAGCTTGTTCCCACAGCATGGGGTGCAGCAAGCAAGGAGCAAACAGACTTCGGCAAAGAGGCATTCGGATCCTGTGGTGAGAACAGCCCAACCACCCAGCACCAACACATGTAGCAGTGGTGGGCACAGTTTCAGGGTTGAAATTACACAGAATATAGTGTACAGCATAGTGCAAAACCTGAGCAGAGCTCCTAAGACGTAGATACCACCTGGAAGGCTGCAGTGGCAATGCACATGAGAACGCTCAGTCTATTGTGTTGCATCTCCCAGAGCAAGTAGATGAATCCAATCAACTAGAGGATCAAAGAAATTACAATGTCAGTGTCTTACATACAAAGAAAGCATGGGAAATAACCACAGGTAAACCATATGCTAGYTAGATTTTTAAAGGATTTTGATAGATATGGCTGAAAACATGGAATGCTACTTGCTCAAGCCAAACTGCACCCCCTCCAAAAAACAGGCAAGTCAAACGTGGCAGTATTTACTCAACTCCTACCCCCACAAAACCCTCCTAGCACAATGCCAGATCCCCCCCTTTCTCCAGTAAATCTCTAGGAGCTCCGCAGGTGAAGCTCCTTAGAAGCCCTTTCAGCACTCCCATATTCCTCAAGGCAGATTTCYCTTCCTGTTCTCTCTGTCAACAGCCCTCTCAGCTCTGGCTATGTTCACAAGGCAGCCAGGTCTTCGCTGCAAGGCGCATTGTGCCATGTACAACTCCTACATGCAGACATCCAACCAAACCTTCGCTGGAGCTCTACCAGGGAAGGCCATGCCATAAGCCCCCCTGCTTTGCSAGCTCCTCTAATGCAGCAGGCTTGGGAGAGAGCTCCTTGCTGCATTTGGACCATTTGGCACAGCTCATGGCACTAGGTATAATCAATACCTAAAATACTGCTCTCCCTGCTTTGCTAGCTTGGCAACATGTACAGGTCCTCCTTGTCTCCTTTAAGGACTTCTCCCTGGGAACCGGCAGAATAGATCCAGGTGAACAGTGATCAGAGATTATGAGTGGGAGGAGATAAGCAGCAGCACAAAGATAAAGCAAGCCTCAAATTCCCAATTCTTGAGATAAAACTGTGATACAATAAAGACGCTACGTCACTAAAACCTCCAATTCTGGGTGCTAGGATATCCCTCCCACCATCTTCCTAATGAATTACTAACTGAAATAACCTCTCTCATGAAAATTTCCCGTTTCTTACATTTTCTCAGCTAGATGCAAAGATGCCCTCAGCAGGCACATGGAAGGCAGGAAATTTCAAGTGGTTGGATAGTCCAACTAGAGGGGCACAGGGCTTGTCAGCATGAGAGAACTGCAGCCATTTTGCCAAAGGAATTGGAGGAACCCAATGTAGTAAACTGATGGCAAGAATGATGCTCTTCATGACATGGGACATCAGAGTTCCCACGGGTGGTTAGCTTCAGCTAAAAACAAACAAAAAAACAATTTATAGAAAACTGTTGGGAGCAGTCACCTGTAGGCAAAACTCTATTCTCCAAAATCCCCAGCATTTTTAACAGGCTGATTTTCAGCTTATTTCAACATGCAGTTACATGAATAGTTTCTCCACTAATTAATCAGGTAGGCAGTCTACTAAGCCAGTGACCCTGAGGTATGCACAAAATTTGGTAGGCACCAATGAGCCTGATCAAAAACTATTGCACTGTTTTGGATCCCACAGCCCTGAAAGAGGCCCTTTTCTATTCTGACTTCTAAAAATCAAGACTTGTTCTATGACATTTAGCCAAGTCTTACAGAACCACTCAGATAACAGGGAGAATTGAAATCAAGCTAGAAAAAAAGAAAAAGGACTAGGAGCAACAAAAAGGGAAAGGAGAAGATAAAACAAGGCCAAAGAGAGTGACAAAATAAGGAGCGAGAATCCATTTGAGAATATCCATTTCAGAATAACGGAAACAAGAGCAAGTGAGATGACAGAAGAGATGAAGAAAAAAGAATATAAGTCTAGTGAAGAAAAGCGCACAAGACGGGGAGAGTGAAAGCCTGGCAGAAGGACTGACTGGAGACTAAAAACAGCAGCTGGCAGCAGCTCAAATCAAACAAGGCAGCATATGTAGGGAGAGCAGTAATAGGAAAACTTCCTTCCTCTGGAGGATTAAGTAACCTCAGAGTTAGGTTGGGTCCTCACTCTCTCTCCTCTCAAATCGCTTGCTGGAAACTCTGAGGCAGAGGATCTAGTTGAACTTTTCTGTGGCTATCGTCCCCAGCTGTCACTCTGAGCTCTGCACGGAAACTGTCAAAGGCTAAAGCTGCATAAACCGGTCATTCATTTCAATTCATTTTTCTACAAGGAAACACCAAGCTGGATACCACTCCCCCAAATAATTTACAAAATCMAAAGGTCAGATTTTCCCAGTGTGTAGGAACATGTTCAAAAGCCCCAGTCCAACCAGACAGAGCCCTCGTCTGCTGATGCTGGAACCTTTTTGCAGAAGATGAAACAAAGTTCAACTTTCAAAAGCATCTTAAAAATGGGGAGTCTTTTCAAGTTTCAAGCTGAAACATATTCAGATAGTGTCACACAGTGTTTGAGACTGGGATTTGTATTCTTTTCATAATGCTGCTACAGTACTTTTTTTGCCTCCTTTAAATGAGCATCCATGAACATAATCTACATAGTGTTGTGCTGAGATACTGTAGGGGTTTTTTTCTGCTACTACTGTACTGTAGGGTCTTTACTGTAGGGTCTTAGGATTGCAATATCACTAGGGATTGCCAAGAACTTTGTATTAAAATGGAATCTGATCAGCCTTTGAAATGTAACTGCCTACTTTTGCCAGCCCTCCTGGGACATACCCTGCTAAGCATGTTTTACTGCTCTGTTAAGATAAGGTCACAATTCTGGGTGATTCTTTAACGTTTCCAAGCATTTTGTTAGGGCCCAAAGAATGAAAACAAAGCAAATAACTAGTATGATCAAATGAACATACGAGCCAAACTCAAACGCATTCCACTTTCCAGTCAACGTGATCTTTTTTTCCCGCTGCAGACACAACATTAATCAAATGAAAAGGCAGCTTGATCTCTTCATCATTTTGAAAATAAAATAAACACAACAAAAACCCATACCACCACTGAAATGGGAAGCAAAAGGTGCCTGGGAAAGACAGAGTCAGGGTAGAAAGCTCCTGGAGGCAAACAGTAGTATCCCCACGGCAATCTAGGAAGGATGCTAGGGAAGCAACAGCAGAGCAGTTCAGGTACTGTGGCTGCTGACTCCAAATAGTGAGCTGGAGCTTTGAAGGTGCTCAACCAATCCATCTACACACTRCATTTTGCTACTTGGACTGTTAATTTGAAGATCACCAGATTCTCTGCAGCAAAACACARCAGCAGAAGCTGCTGAACTCCACCAGTACCAAACCGCAGGCTTCGCCAGGCAGCATCACAGCCCTCTCCAGAGGTGTTACCCAAAGCAGCTTGCTGAAGTTGCTCACTCATCTTGCCTATCTCCTGTCCTATTTCTTGTTCTCTTCACGGGGTTACTGTGACATGACAAACTGGCATCTTTGCACTGTGACCTATCATGCAGTGACGAGAGACTCAGAACATCTTAACAAGCAGATTCATCTATATCATCATGCAGGATGACTCAAAAGTCACTTCCATTGGAACTATAYGGGGGAAAAAAAGTAATTAATTTCTTTATGCCTGTCTGGAAATCCCAACTTGCAAAAGTAGGATTCACAGACGAATACTTTTGGTGTCACACAAAAAGTTACCCTTACTACTGCTGCTCTTATGCTAGGATAATGGAAACTGGCAGGAAGAGCAACAGCCTAAACAGCTGTTAATTCTCTGCAGCTTGCAAATACCACTTATTCAGAGCTGTACTTCTGGTAGGATGCAAGAAAACCTTTTGCTATACAGGACACAAAGAAACAAGACAGTCAAATCAATCAACTTGCTACCCATCAAACACCCATCAAATTGTGTAAAGGCCAGGTATAAGAATTAAAAAATACATATATTTATACATATGCCTGGCAACTTGTCCAGCCCCTCACAAAAATATGCTACACAAAAAGTCTTTCAAAAACCATCTTCCAAGTCATTGCTTTTGCTTTAAGTTATTGGCAAAGTTTTGCTATGGGTACTGGCCCACGTAACACACAGTAAATGCACATGACCCACGTTATTTACCCGCTGGCCCAAGGTCAACTTGACAGCCATGGTTATACTTCTTTAGGCCCTCAACACTGTTGCAATTGCTATTTTCCTCACTATTATCTAGTGTGCTTTTAATGTCACATCTTCATGAATTGCAATAGGACCAGAAGCAAACCAACCATGCATTAGAACACGTTGCTTAATTCATGCTGAAGTTGGGGTGGCTTTTTCATGGTTCTGTTTGTCTTGCATAACCATATGCTTGCATATGGTTAGCCAAACTCCACTGATGTTACTATATAAACACTATGCAGGCACAAAGCTCTTGCTGAATCAAGCATTCATTAGAAGTGCTGACTACTGTTTATAAATACTACAATGAAATCACAGAACATCCACATAACAAAAGCTCCGTTTTAAGAGAACGGCCTCTAAACTTGCATTTGTCAAGCCACCAAGCAACAAAAATATCTCCTCTTCCTTTCACTATATTCCCAGAACAGCACTCTTTCCACAGACAGTATATTCCTGCATTTTACCTCTGGAACAGAATCAGTAGAAATTATATAGGACCAGCCTGATGCTTCCTTACTCCCCTCTGCACTCTTACTCAGGCAAGAAATCTCCTCAAAGTCATTAGGGTTATTTGGGAAAGGCAGCACCAACTGAATCAARAATTACAGTCTGGCACACAGCAAGCAAAAAACTACACTCACAGGCTACAGATAGCCCACATACTCCTTAAAGTTCCTTGAAGGCAAACTTCCCTATATAATCCCCAGAAAGAGTTGTACYGAAACAATAAGGACAGTAAAACTGAAAACCAGCACATAATAATTTACCAAACTGATATTTGTCAAAAAGGCAACAGACTGATTTTTAGTTTAATTCTTTGTTGAAATCCAGGTCCCTGTGGGTGCAAACCAGGTACCGTTGCACTGAAAGCTGCACRGTTTCCATCCTCTTTGACTCTCAGTTGCTGTTCAGGGACAGAATTAGATTTTCAGCAGCTTCATTTTACATGACATTTAGTTTGTGTTCATTCAGCAAAATAAACTTGCTTTTACAAAGCTCTTGCTGAAAGATCTTAACTTCAAAACTCTTCACCTAACCCAAGCATATTTAAAAATAATGTTTCATTTTGCTGATCTCCATGAC